TGTTTACATAAGATTTATTACTGTTAAATATAAACTTTCATTATATTCACACTCATATCATACATACAAACATGCATGCATTCTAGGTATACCTACGTAATACTCCATGTTCTACTTACCACCATCATCCATGGGCAGCTTGATAGGTGCGTCCGTCTCATGGATTTGTTTAAAGTCCTCGCCGCTGTCATCATCACCCAAATTACCGTTCTCTCCTAGTACTGACTTAATTTTTTGTTCCTCTAATTCTTTATCGATCTGAAAATCAAAACAAAATTTTCACTGTCGATAAGGTGATAGAATTGTTGGCCAGTCCGGTAGTGAAACTCTTTGCTTGTTCCAAGGGGTAGCAATAGAAGATGAATAACATCATTTTGATAACAAGGACTAACCAATCTTTTATCTTATACTATTATATAAAGCGGAAGAGTTTGTTTGTTTGTTTGAACGCGATAATCTCCGTAACTACAAGTCTGATTTGAATAATTATTTTTGTGTTAGATAGTGCATTTAACGAATCCTCGTTAAATGAAACATTACGCTACGACCAATACGAGCTATGCAGAGCGTGTAAAACCGCGCGGAAGTAGCTAGTTTAATTAATAATAATTTTGTTGCATATGTAATAATTGCAACAAATGATTATACAGATTCGCAATTTGAGGTTAGCCTAGTATTCTAGATGTCACATCTTACCTTTATAACATCCTTAACTCTAATGGTAGGTTTCTGCATAGTTTGGACTGTATCTGTATCTCTGCCATATGACACTCGCGATGCATGTCGCTCAGCACTGCCTAGTCCTGGAAAAACATTTATTTTATATTAACTTAGTTTGCAATTTATGGTAACAACATCGTTTTATAATAACTATCGTGAGACATACTAAATTAACTAAAATCGCGGGTTACTCACGTGAATATACTATAAAAGCTCTATTAGTTTCGAACCACAAAGGGGTTCTTCATCATGAGCAGTTAACGATTCTAGTCAACATTATTATAATATCAGAATGCCACCACAAGACATGTGCGGTGAAACATAGGCCTCCTGTCTTCCAGAATGGTTGGTAGGATGCAGTCTGCATCCATTTATTCACGCTTTTGTTTAGCAACACATGTCTTCTGTTTTATAATAATGATGATAATGATCAATACCTATTTTAAACTGTCAAACACCAAGCGGTCACCGGTGACCGTAACCTATTGTTCTATAATTGTGTCTACAAAACCGGTACTCGACGAGTTAAAGTAATCATTACCTTCTGAGAAAACTCCACTGGATTTAATAATGTTAGGTCCATTTTTGAAGTTCTTATTTCTGTCATTTCTCCTGTCTTTTTTGTCTTTATCATCTTTCTTCTGGTTCTGTGGTGGTTTAGGTGCACTGAAATATTATTTCAACATGGAAATATAGTAGATGTTATAAATAAGGGTTGGAGTGTAGGAGGGGCACAAAGGGTGTGCAAGGAGTTTAGGACTTAGAAAATTTTTCATCAAAATAAATAGGTTGTTAATATTTGATGTACTTACACTATTAGTGCATAGAAAACATGTGGCATTTTTTTTTTCATAGAAATTATCTTACTATTTTTCCTTCAAATGGTTTAAAATTTAGGTTCATGATGAAGTACTAGACTTCTAGCTTTATAAAGAGACTTGAATTATCATTATTTACTGAATCAAAAATTACAAAACAAAGAAAATTGAACAAAGCCCTTTGAGATAGTTAATGGTCACGTATACCCACATGCTTATAAAGATTCAAATTATAATCAAAAACTATGTGATATAAATACATACAGAAAATGCCTTACCCTTTGTTTTTATTCCTGATTACGTTCAAATTAGGTGTGAATACTTTTTTGTTGGTTTTAATTCCACCTAGGGTCAGATCACGGGGTGGTTTGAACGAAGCCAGGCGTTGCAGGGGATCAGAACCGACTCCATTCGTCTTAGACGACTTATCATCAGCCATTTTAACGATATTTAATGACTTACAAACTATAAAATGCGATTTAAAGTATTTTCTAATAAATACGCGTGAGTAAGTTTGTTTTGAATTGTCTTGTCAAAGAAAAGAACTCTGACACTGACAGTTGACAGTATCACATCAGTATCACAATAAAATGTCAACTGTTCAGAAACCAAAACTGAAAGAAAAAATTTTGTTCACCTCATCGTTGTCGTTGTGGTGAAGATGTCAACAGCCTTGGACACCACGGCTTGTCATGTAGCCGTAGTGCGGGCCGTTTTGCTCGACACGCAAGTATTAATGACATAATTCGTCGAGCTCTTGCCTCCGTTGGCGTGCCAGCTACTTTAGAACCTAATGGCTTGGTACGCGACGATGGCAAGAGACCCGACGGTATGTCATTATTCCCTTGGAAGATGGGTAGGGCTTTAGTATGGGACGCCACTTGCGTTGATACTCTGGCGCCATCCCATCTTCCAAGCTCAGCGTGTCGAGCCGGTGCTGCCGCTGCTGCTGCCGAGAACCTCAAACGGCGAAAGTATAATAGCCTGATTGGCAATTATGCTTTCGAACCGTTTGGGGTTGAAACTTTAGGGCCGTGGGGCCCAAGTGCACATCTTCTTTACAAAGATATTGTAAGGAGGATGGTTGACACTTCAGGTGATCGAAGGGCTGGCTACTACCTTGGGCAAAGGTTAAGCATTGCCATTCAACGTGGCAATGCTGCCAGTCTTTTGGGCACCCTACCTCACGGTAGCGATGAGGAAAATGTTTTCTTTGATGCCTTATGATTTATTTTTATTATTATTATTTTATTAAGGTGTAAATATTTTAGTTTTAAATTTGTTTTTTATATATATTTTAAGTTGTATATATTAATTTTTATCTTGTATTGTATATATTTAATTGTATAATAGTTATTATTAATTCTAGAAA